TCCACTGTACTCCGTTCCCCCTTTTATATAATTTTTCACCGCGTCTCCAAAATTCTCGAATTGTCTCAAAGACGACAGAACGTCTAGGATTCCAGAATCATCGCGTAAAGACCTCGCGAATGACAGCCAGTCTCGAAAACTATACTGGCAGGACAGAAAGGAACCAGTCCATAACAGTATCACGTGAATTTGGTTTCAAAAGTACAACTCTATTATAGTAAATGTTTTTTCAGTATTCTGAGAAATACCGTGAGAAAAAAAAGTAGGCATAAGGTTAATAAAAATATAATAGTCTTAAAAAATAATAGCTCGCATAATTTCTATTAAAAAAATTTTTTTTGCCATTTTGTCTGAGCTCAAGGGGGGTGTTTAAACCCCTCCCCCCTTGCGTACGCCACTGAATGTGTACATCTCAGACCTTACTGTACTACTCACCTTACTGTACTACTCACCTTACTGTACTCATTGTTCATTCTATGTTGTGAATTTCCTTCTTAAAACTCTGAAGGTTACATTTTTTTAAGAAAGATTTATTTTAATTATGATTAATGAATTATATTTAAAACTATCAACTTTAAATATTTTCTATGCCAGGAATAAAAAATAGTGGGAAAATAAGAGCAGATAATGGGCAAAATTTTGCGTCGGATTATTAAAGCTAGATAAATCTAACATAAGCTCAACTAGGTTTGAGGGTATTATGCAGGGATGAAAGACTTCTGCTACAAAACGAAAAACCATTTTTTCTCCCAATTTTTAAAATTTCCAACCATATTCCAAGAATGTTTTTGAGGTGCCCAAATATTAGAGGAACCCCCTCCCCCATGATAGACGAAACTGTAGCCGACCGAACGATAACGGTCTTAGAATGAACTTTCTCTCCTTGCAGTAGCCTCTTGAGAAAGAAGGATCATCAGGAGCAGGTGTGCCATTACCTTGACAACAACAGTGACTTCTGCAGTAAAGCGTAAAAGGATGAGGTTCTTGGTTGTTGAGTTCTGGGCAGTTTCGTTTCAAAAGCCAATATTTAATCCATGGTTTTCCTTCTTGATGTGACGCTTATTATTGGATTTGCTTATGCGTTCATTATAGTTCTCAGCTCCGCTCCTTTTTTTTTTCTTTTTTTTTTTTTTTTTTTTTTGTCTGTTCCTGTTCATGCGTATGTTTGTTTTTCGTTTTATTTTTCACCAGGTGCGTTGTAGATAGCTGCGACTGTTCCGATGAAAACTTATCTGCTCAAACTTTATTAAAAATATGATTTTAGGTCAAAATTTTTTGATATTTTGGTATTCTAGCACCCTTTTACTCCTTATGCCGATTTTCTTTCAACCCAATACAGTTCTAACAACTAGAAGCAGGGCATATGAATTTTACTGCGAATGTCGCAGAATTTCACGTATCTCGAGACAATTGGTTTGCGAACTTCCACGAATTAAAAACTTATAAACCAACACAATCTTGCAATGTATGCTAAATCTCTTTGACTAAACATTTACATACATGTGATTTTTCTACCAATTTGATTTCTTTGGTTTGACTGATTTTCGGAATTTTAAATATTAGGAATTCCGCCAGAATCTGTTAATATCAGGATTTTAATAACCATCGTTTTTCGTATTTAACTGAACTGATTTAAAAGTTAGGTGTTATGATTCCTTTTCACGCTATTTAGAAATCGTACATCGCCATTTCCATTAACACCATTTAAAAATCTTGTATTGCGATTTGTATTTAAGCATTTTTAAAACCCAATATCATGATATTGTAATGTCAAACATCGATTTTACTATTTATATGTGATTTACGAACTTCTCGTTGCTATTTGTATAAACGTGATCTAAAAATTAGGCAAAGTGATCCTTATTTATGCAAATTAAAAATTTAATATCGCAATTTGTATTTTCTCTTTTTTAAAATCCAATATTTTGATTCATTTTCACATTATTTTTAAATCTAATTTCTCGATTCTTGAAAGAAGTAAGTTTTTTCTTGAATCAGTTACTATAAATATGTGATACTCTTCATTGGTAAATAATTTAATTAAAACTGTCCGGTCGAAAAATTATGTTCAATATGAAACATGTATGGTTTATAAATGTATGGATATTTTGATGTTTTGTTTTTCACTGTGTCATAATTACCCCTGATTGACTTATCATGCTTTATGTTCCTATTTTTATTTTCAACAAGTTGGGAGCTATGTGTAAGATGAATATATTTTAACAATGGTAGTCAATTTGAAAAGCGATCACAAAAAGCTTTCGATTGATGCTGCTGAAGAAAAGTAAATAAATTTAAGTTTGACTGGCTAATTAAAACAGTCAAAGAGACTAAAATTGTTAGTTACACTCTATTAAAAGATATTAAGGGGAAAATTTACGACTGGTTTGCTTTAAAATAATTGACTGGTAATTAATTTTCAATGGTGATTATTAAGCCGCAAGTTCCTATAGTTGCTAAATTTTCTTTAATACATAGCAATCAAAAAAATTAAAATTATATTAAAGAAAAATTTAAATTTCATTGTTTAAATGCTTCTGAAACTTGAAATATAAAATAAAAATCTCCCCCGCAAAGTTAAAAGCTGTTTTTATTTATATCATTGACATCACAGTATTATATGGAACTCTCCCTCCCCCCTCCTAGTGAATGTGTTGTATAAGTTCAGTTTTTTTTTATTTTTGTCATGCCTGATCAGGCACTTTCATGCCTGCTTATGTCTCAAACTGCAATTTTTACTACTAAAAATAGTTTTTTTTTCATTATCTTTTACATATAGTTTTTTTGTTAAATTGCAGCATATTACTGCATTCTATGTGATATGAAAAGCAAAAAAAGTACACTATTTTCTTTCATTGCTAGTAATCATTAAAAAACTAATAATTTTTTTAAAGTAAAATTTTTTCATCTTCATATATTTATCCAAAAATATAGAGACAAATTTTTTTTCCCCTTTTGAATTTGATTTTTGAAGTGATTTGAACTAGACTTTTGAAGCAGACTGTCTTACAGTGGAAAAATATTTAGAAAAAAAAAGAAAGATTTTCGTAAAAATTTTGAGTTTCTTTCAACCTAACTTGTTTCTGCTGTGATATAAAAAACGTTAACCAGAAATAATATAAAAACGTTATAGATCTATGAATATTATTTATTGTTTGCAAGACAATATATTGTTTGAATAATTGGTAAATATTCAAAGCTTAATATAGGTATTTTCTGCCGGATATTAGGATTATCTTATAGTAAAAAAAATAAATTGTAGACATTCAGTTAACAGAAATTTGGCTGTAATAACTCTTGCTTTTCAAATATTTCTTTCAATTTTCTTTCTAATTGCTATTGAATTTGCATTTATTTTAACATTTATGTCTTATAATTTACATTAAAATTATGCTAGCTTATTAACTATTTATTTATTTATTATTTTTTTAAAAGATTATTTCGAAAATATTTAATACCATCATTTTGGAGATCGAGAAAGCCAATGGGAATATAGAGAAAAAATCTAATTGCCTCCTATCTTGATGTCACCTGCAAGCCCTATTTTTAAAGATCGTGCTCCAAAAAGACATTTTTTTTATGTGTTTGTGTGTGTGTACTGTCTGTATTTTAATAAATATTTTATAAATATAAAAATTGTGTGTTGTCTATTAACAATTTCTTTTTTCTTCAAAAGAGTGTTACCGATATATTTAAAACCATCTTACTGGAGATTGAAAAAGCCAATGGGAATGTCCAGGAAAAATCAAACTGCCTCATTTCGTGATGTTGGCTGCCAGTTCTATATAAAGAGATTGTACTTCAAACAGACTTTATATATACTCAATGAATATATTTACTCTTTTATTCTTTTTTATTTCTTTTTTTTTTTTTTTTTTTTTTTTNTTTTTTTTTTTTTTTTTTTTTTTTTTTTTTTTTTTTTTTTTTTTTTTTTTTTTTTTTTTTTTTTTAGAAACATTTTTTTCTGAAATTTATGAGACCAGGGGTCAATCAAGAAATTGGGGTTCCAGATTTTGAAAACGGTGTATATCTTATTTAGTAAAAATTTGTCGATAATTAAAGTAGTATTTCTGCAAAATGTATATATTTCTACAAAAGCCATTTTTATATAAAAGTATATGAACATTTAAATACAAAAAATGTAAAACTAACACAGCAAACAACAATTAGAAAACAATTATTTTTCTGAGGTTTTACTTGTCAATTTGAATGTGCTTTTATTAATAATTCATATGAAAATATACATTTTTGTGTATGAAATTTTTAACTCTTAAAAAAGACTGCAAACAAAGTGGATTATTAATCATACCGTTTTGGGCAAAAAAATTTAACAGCAAGATATGTTAAAGGATTGTTATTAAACTTTAACAAAGAACCGTTTGAGTAGTTTAGAATTTCATGAAACAGCCTTAATTGATGCTCAGATTTTTCTGAAGGGTTTGGCTTTTTGTAAAGGGTTTTTAATAGAACCTAAATTGTTTCTAGACTGACACCTGGGTGCATATATTATTATTATTTTTTTTTTCACTTTATGACTTAACTAAGAGCTATTTGTTAATATGTTACTATTAGTTATTTTAATTGTTATAATATATTTTATTATATACTGTTTGTTGTATTGTTTATAATAGGAATAATTACTTTGTTGTGGTTGTAAATATATATTTTTAAGACATGTGTATATGATAGTTTTTTTGGGGGATGGGGATAAGTTTTGGTATAAAGAAGTCATTGCCAAATTAATACATATTTTTTCTTTTTGTACTATAAAGATGTCCAATACTTATAACTTACAAGGATTTGAGGTTATATTTGATTTTTTTTGCTCAGGAATGGAATTGTTCTATTTACGTGTAAAAACTTTCATTCTGATTGTTGTATCATGTCATGTGAATGTTTTGTCAAAACCTTTAAATAAGTCTTGATTAACGAAAACAATTTCTTCACAAACTTAATTTTTTAGAAGCAGATCTGCCTAAATTTTCATTACCCAAAAAGTCTATGGTTTCCAATTAGTGATCCGCGAAGCAGATTATTTAAAAACATTATTTGCATCATTATTTAAAACAATATTTATAATTTATCTAACTTTAACTGTGACTCATAGTTGAAAGACTTACTAAGGAATTAAAAATATATTAAAATATTGGAGAAAAAGGAATTAAAAAACATATTATGATTTTATTTCATATTTTATAGGATTTTTTTAAAATAAACATTAACAAGTGCTATGTTTTGAACAATAGTTTATTGAGGCTCGTGCCAACATACTGGTAAAGGATTCACAAGCCTGGTTAACACTTTAACCTTTCGTATGCTGAAAAAGATTTTTTTTTATAATACATTTTTACTAAATTATACTTTTTAATTGTTCTACCTTTTTCTTTCTTTTTTTTTGCCATATTTATCTTTCTTTTTTAAACTATATATATATATTAAAAAAAACCTCTGTCTTAAGTGTTAGAAAAAGTATAATAATGTTTAAGATTTTTTTTAATTAAAATTTTCTTGAATTTTAAAGATACTCAGCAGGTAGTTGATGCTCTATGTTTAAATATCGAGTCCTGACCTTAACCAGCATTTGCTCTTTTTTTTACCATCAATTTTGTTAAAATTCCGATATTATTGAAAAAATAATCTATGCAGGATGCTGCAACATGATATAACTGAATGGCCTAGACTTCTCTTTAATGGCAATTAATCTATAACAAGCGATTAAGTCTTTTTTTTATCTATAAATAAATTTGAAAAAATTTCTCTTGAAATCATTTTACTTGATTTGATTTCAGTCCTATTACAGGGAAGAATGACGGAGGACAGAATGGGAAGGAAAAAAAAGGAAAATTTAATGATCCATTGATTATGGATTTTGAGTTTTTTTTAATAATTCCTTTTTATGTGCATTTAATATCACCTTAAAACATTATGCTAAATAAAATAACTAAATGCCACAATTATTGTTAAAAAGAAGAAAATTTAGTCCTGAAGACAGTGCTTTATATCAAAAATTTCATTAGTTTAACACCATTACATGTAAAGTTTTTTGCATACCATCTTCCTTATGCTCTTGAAAAAGGTTCTAACTGACAATTTTTTTTTTTTTTTAAATAGAGATTTCTCATAAGGGGATATGCTATTTAACTATCAAACATTGATTTATTTTGTCCCTTCATTAAGTTTCCAAGGTTTCAGTGAATAAAGGTTTTTTTGTGGAAAACTGTTCTATGTGTATTTGGTAATAAGAGCTACCGATGAGTACTCTTAGAAAACTTGTTTTTTGGCATTAAATTAAAAAAGCAAGAGCGTGAAAGCTGTGGTGTGAACTGCCTAAATATATTTAAATAATAAAATTAAAATATATAAATTTCGTCAGTTTAAAGCTTGCATACAAACAATAAAGGCTTGGCATAATCCTTATTTTCTATTGTTGAGCAATCAACTCTAAAAATAAGTTGCTCTAATTCATTAAAAGTACCATTATTCACTCTGCACTTCAAAGAGTTGGTAGAGCACCCTCATCCAAGCTTGTACGAGAAGTGAGGTGAACAATTGTTAACGATCCCTTCTTCATTCGTGAAGAGGGTAAGTCTAGAGGTGCTGATTCAAGCGTCGGCTGATTAATATCTCGGTGTTGTACTGTTATTCAGTCAAACAAGAATATAAGTTACACTGAAAAAATTATTTAAATATATAATTTTTACTTCTATAGTTTTTGTCAGGAAGAGGTACTTTTTAAATCTGAAGCCACATGACTTCTGAACTATTAAAAAAAGAAAAAAACCTATCACTTTTTTAATACCCAATGCATTGTGATTTTTTATACTCCTATACACTAATAATTATTGCTTTGTGTGTATCAAAGTTATTTGGTATATTTTTTATTTAAGTTCGCAAAATATCAGTTTTAAAACTTTATTCCAATTTTTTTTCCGTGTATATTTTTCTATAACTTAATATTAGAAATTGAACTTTCAAAAAAAAATTTTAAAAATTCTTACTCTCATTATGGGAAGCTTCACTCCCCCTTTTTATCAAAGTTTTTTTTTTTTTTTTTAATTATACTTTTGCATCTTTGATATTATCGTTTCCTGTGTGAAGTGAAGGTTTTGTTTTTATCTTTATAATTATTCTGATCCTTTTTGTATTTCAAGCATGTTTTACTTAATTATTGTGGTATTGGTTTTTAGGAGAGAAATTTTGCTGTGGTTAGTGATTATTACTACTTACTTATGTATGTTGCATTAATTAAATGCTAATAATTCGAAATAATGCTGGGAACTGAACGTTTTTTATTTATTATTAACTAAACTCTGTCTTTTATAAGAGCTTAAGCATCTAGCTCACAGGAAGGGGATATACAATTTGCTTATTTTTGCTGGCAACAGGAGGTCAGTATGAACTGTGTTTGCATAAGATAATTCCTGCCATCAGTAAAAAAAAATCTGTGAAAACTGTTGAAACAGGTGACATGCCACTAATAAGTATTATATCTGGTTACTGTGTTAAACGTATTGAATATTTTATAAAAAGAATGACCTTAAAAAAAATTGCTGTAACAAGAACAGATTACAAGACAAGAACCTCCGTGGCCTCTGATGAACATTTAACGAAACAGCTTTGGGTAGACAATCGCCACTCATTTTAAAGAAAAATCCATTAAATGGTTATCAAAAAAATTAAGGGAAGCCTAACAATAAATAGTACAAATACAAAAGGTAACATATAATTTTAAATTTCAGATTGTGGCAAACTTGGTGTCCAATGGTTATTGAAAGTAATTTTATTTCATTAACTAATATTCATTATGAGGTAAAAACTATTTTAAAAAAGGTTAAAATCTACTTTTCAAAAGATGTACACCGTGAATTTATAAATTAGTATAAAGTATACAATTTCGTTTTTTAATATGTATGTCAATAAACTAGTGAAATACATGGGATTTTATTTTTTTTTAATGTGCAAAAGAAATTGAAAATTCCAATAAGAAATTTGCTATATGTGTATTTAATTGTTTTTATTTCCTTCTCTAAACAATTTAAAGTACTTATTTTAAATATTTGTTTGAATTACGAGTTCGGCTGACTTAAGAAAAACGCTGTTAATGTTTTCTGAGAACAGACTGTGAAAAGCTTAAAACCTTATAACTTAATATTTTTCTTGCTTTTATACCCCTGGTATATTATTTTAAGGTACTGAAGCACTTCAGGAAAGGGAAGGGAAAAAAAAACTTTCAAAAATTATAGAGTGAAATAACATCACTTTAATTTGAAAGGTGTTTTTTATATTTAAAAAAAATTAACCATCTGCTTTGGTTTATGATGTAACGACTCAAGTGGTTATATAAGTTTTATGTGTATGTTTTTTTTAAATGTTATATTCACAGGTAATGGCCGGTTGTGGTGTCTAGAAACAGCTTGTGCCATTTCTGTTTTAAGTTATTACTGCTCGAGTTTCGATTTAAATTTGATAAAAGTAACAAAGAGTAATTTTAAGACAAACTAACTTTTGATTAATTTATGAAATTCGATACACACAATACTCTGTATATTTTCATCATGGATTCTGATTGTAGCTAAGGGGTTTATGTTCTTCTAAAAAATTACAATTAAAAGTAATAATATTTAATTGAAAAAGGTTTGCTCAGTTACGCGAGAAAACATGTTTGGCGTGATGTATATGTTAGGATATTCATTCATCTCATAATGTTGCAATCGGAGGCAAAAAAGTTTTCCCATTTCCCCAATTTATACGATTTATTTCTTAATCGTAAACCAAAGTTTTTTACTTAGTCATTTAGAAATATTATTTCAGAAGCATTAGTGAGCAGCAAAACCGAAGTAGCTGCCCCGTTCTGCCATATTAATATAAAATTGCAGTTTTTCAAATTATTCTCTGTATTAATTTCAATGTTTAAGAGCCCTTTACCCTCGCCATTCATTGGATTTTAGATTAAAATTTTAATTTAATTAAATTTTTGATATTTTTTTTTTACTTAACAGATTTTTGATGATAAAGTATTGTTTTTCTGCAAAATACCTTTTCCAAAAAGGTAGAAAATAAAGATATTTCATTATTAGATTGGGTGAAGTAGAGTGTGATAATTTTTAGAACTTCTATGAATTTTTCCTCTAAACTTGAAAGCAATAAAATGATGCTATTGGTGGTTTTGAGTAATTAATTGAAAACTACACGTTTGTCAGTTTTTAGATTTTTTAAATTCTAATTTTATTACTGTCATCTTATTCTGTAATAAAAGTCATCTACTTGTCATTATTATCGTCATCCGAATTATCAGTTTTCATAAGTTTAAACAACTTATGAAAACTGATTTGGATGACGATAAGAAAAAAAGTTCTTTTAAAGTTAATTGCGTAAAAACAAAGATACTTATCGAAATTCTAAAAATAGGCAACTGCATACAATTTAACTACCTGTCAAAAACTGTTGATTGCAGAACTGTGTTTGCATAATTCTGACGCCAAAAATTGATAGAAAATCCGAATTACTGCACTTTTCATGTCTCAAATTGTTATTGGATGATGACGTGTAGCAGACGATACTGCCATTTAGAATAAAATCCGTCATCAAATTATTTGTGAAAATTAAATAAGGAGGATAAGAATCCCCCCTTCGACAGTCGACCCGGCTGAATCTCCCGAATTCTTATTTCATGGCAATGCATGAAAAATTTTAATTTAGGAAAATATTAACAATTTCAAGCATCTGTTTGTAGTAAATTTTTTGTACCTGAAATTTTGCCCTTTATATTATTTCGTAGTTAGATATAAAAATAACTGAAACACAGGTTTATGCTAAAAGGACATTGATAAGAATTGCAACTTAATGCTTTTGCTATGATAAATTTTGTGGATATTCCTCACCATCCTAGGAAATGTGTGCTCGGTGTTCCATAATCACTACTCTTTATGTGTGTTATTAGAATCCTTATCAAGAACGAAGTTCGCGATTTTAAGCGAAAAAGTAAAATCTGTCACATTTCCTGTGTGAAAAATTCAAAGCTAGTTTGACAGACCAATAAAACTTAAACTTCTTAGGTTCCTTGGGAAATGATGCATGTCTTGAATTCAAAAGTAATTCAATAGCGTTTTTGATTCTCTTTATTATTAATTTGAAACTCGTATGTGATTATTTTGTTATCGTCATTTTTAACAAAGATTCTAAAAATGTATTATAAAGAAAAGAAATTGTGGAACACCTTGTGTATCTGCAAATAATAAATTAATAATTTAAATTGCTTGTCAACACTAAAAGAAAATTTACAAGTGCGAGGCATATATTATTACTTTATCTTTTAAACTATCTTCTTTTTTTTAATTCGTTTTTTTTTATTTAAAAATTTCAAATTGGTCTTTATTTGCACAGTTTCCCTAAGTTTGTACAGAATTTAAGCACATTTTTATATCCTTGTACGTTTTACGACCCTTTGATTATTTTAAAACGTTTTCAAGTTTTATATCTTCTATGTGTTTTTTTTTCTTCTCTCACTTAGAGTAAATATATGTATTTGTAATATAACATTAATAAACTTCTTTGTATACTATTGGACTACATGAGCCTTTCTTTATTCAATATTTCACTTTATAATCAACAGCTGACATTTTTTATTCATGTTTAACTTCACGTTAGATATTTAATATTATTTATACTTCGTGTTTACCGAACCGTAAGGACTTCTCTAAACATATAAATTTAGGATTTTTGTCAAAATAAAGTGAAAAGCGTTTGCCGTATATGGGTCTGACATTTACGTATTTTAGTTTGGGAGAAAAGAACACACTCTGATATCAGTCACATTACTGGTGAGATAGGCAGGATTTAAAAACACGAAAACCTTTTTAAAATTAAAACGATTATTAGTAGAAACAAAAAATACCGTCAAGCAATTTTTTTTTTCATCCCTCCTTCCTTACCAGTAACTCATTACTACCTCATTTCTTTTTAGATAGATTATAGAAAATTATGTTTTAAGGGTGGTTCTTGCGAAGCACCTTTTTTGTTTGAAAACCAAAATTTAATGTTAGTCTGATCGTATAGCTTTAATAATTTAATGCAAAAGGGTGAAAATAATATTCATAGTTGACGGACCTAGTGCAATTTTTTTTTTAAAAAAAACAAATTCTTAGTCTAGTGATACAAGATTTAAGATCGACTGTGCGACTCCAAATTTAAAAGAGATTCAATATCTAATGTGTAATAATTTAATGTCTTGAAGAATCAGTAATACGATTTACTGCAATTCGGTTTAAGAAAAAATAAACTTAGGAAACCAAATATTTATTCTTTCTAAGTGAAAAAGTTCAACTACATATGGCGCTGCTGACTGGAAAAATTATAAAACAAATACTTTCATTCGAGCTTTTCTAGATTTTGCCCTAAGACTAAGATGCTTTAAAGTTTTACTAACTTAGCAGCGCAATCTGTTGTTAAACTTGGTAACTTGACGAGAAAGACTTTTAATTTCCTTGACAGGTCACAGCAAATTATACATTTCGATCTCCTTCCCTTTCGAAGAAAATTTGAATAATGTAATCTCTTTTTTTACAATGCATTAAGTTAAACAACGTAAAAAGATAAATGATCTAACACAGATATACTAAAATGTGGGTTCGATTATGAATAATGCTTCTCTATAGTGGGAACTGAATTGTCAGTGTCCACCATTATAGAACGAACAAGTTCGCTATAGTAGTGTGAGAGTTAGAAGCCCATTTAGATACTTGAAATTATTGATCTGGGTTATTGTGCAGCGATGAATTGGGCAAACAGTTTATAAAAAAAAGCTTAATAATGTAATTGCTTTGATGCTCTAATTCAGGGGCTCCAATTATGAAGAGCCTTCAATAGTGTCGAAACAGAGAATCATTTTGTGTATCGATATAGAAGTCATTTCATTTAAGTCGATCATTTTAGGCCCGAAGCTTTAGTATATCTGATTACGTTACGTTATTTGTTCTCTTTATCATGTCGTTTAGTTTAATACATTTGTAATACAATTTAAACTCTTTCTGTATTTGAATTTGAAGAATATGAAAAATGGTATCACATGCGTGGAACTGAAACGTTTTATTTTGTATAAAAGAGATTTGGTGCAGAAACGGAAGTGGAACTTAGCATACATAATAAGGGATCAGATTCTTTTTATTAGAACAATTGACAAGTGATTCTGAAATGTTTTAAATTGGTCTACTCTAGATTGAATTAGAATTAATTATTAAAGATTTGAAATGTTGAAGAATTATGAATTTATAAAAATTTTAAGATATGCAGTTTAAATAATTTCACGTATGTGAAAATGCTTCTGTAGAATTTTTCCTTTAATTTTATAACCGTAATTAAACTTTTTGATGAAAATAACCCGCATTTGCGTTACATAGAGGGGAAAACCTCTCACGGTAAGCCTGCCGGCAAGGGGATTCTAACTTATGATCCGTCTACCGTTGAGGATATTTTACACCAGCACTGTGGTCGGTGCGAACAATTGCTCGAGAGTGAGAGCATTTGCAAAACGTATTTATTTATTTTAGCTGTTTGGAACCAGCTATGACACACTTTTGAAAACTATTGATAAGGCGTGCGGCAAATATCTTGAAATTAACGACATGGGAAACTGAGTGGAGAGGAAAGAATTAAGCTGTTGATTTCACAAATCTATTTTAAATGTCTCAGTACTTAGTTCAATCGTAACTATTATATTTATAATAAATTTCCCAAGTAATGAAGATTAACGATTCTTAATAAAAAAAATTACTAAAAACATTTTGTTACAAAGGGAATTATTTATCTGTACAGCATAGCAATCGATAAGAAAATTTCGATAGCATGATAATACACAGAAAAACATCTTTTTCCCATTGCATCAAGGCCTCCGCACTCTCATCAATAGTTACATCAAACAATGAGGTTAAATTATGGTATCCCCCGTTCATTTTACTATATGAAACTGAAATGTACATTTACAAACACGAAATTTATATTTTCAAAAGATTTTATATTTAAATTTTTTTTTTCCAGGAAAAAGAATGCGTATTTTTCTGAAAGTCTAAAATTTTAATTCTAAGAAGAAAAAATTGCGAATTTCGATGGATCGAGTTCATTAACTTGAAAACGATCAGCATTGAATATGTGCTGTTATTCTTGGCAATTTTTGCAGAAAGTTGAAAAAAATTCGTCTGATTTACTTTTTAACAAGGAAAACGCATGAATAATTTGCAGACGATTTTAACATCTTATATTGTTAAAATATTTTTACTTCAGTTATATTTTCTACCAAAGTGTAAGGAAAGTGGCGTGTTAAAGTTGAGCTAAACTTCTCCACATAAGTTAAAATGTTAATTAAAGTGAAGATAATTAAAAACAGCGCCGTATCGCACATCGAATATGTTGAAATATAATTCTTTCTCGTATACATCTTTTACTTAACTTAAATTTATTATTTGTTTATGTATTTTATTGTAACAGTGATATATTTTTGTTTTGTGTACCTGGCAACTTCGTTGTATAATTAATTTATGTTTGACATGTCTTCGTGCCGGTCTTAAGTTAGAAATATATAGTGAAAGAATTGAAATATTTTTGAAAGATTATAGTATGTGTCACTTAAGAGAATCGATACTCGACGGGCTTGGCTTACTCGAAATAAAATGAAAAGAATAGCTGCTAACGTAAACAAATGCCACGTTTCAAGAACGTGGAAGAACCAATCAGGATCGAGATATCCACACTACGTCACTTACAAGTATACCATTAAAATGATTCATTCATTGTATAATATTTAAAAAGTATCAAACAATTACTTATGGACTAATAATTATTTAAATGCTAAGCATATAGATAATTTTATAAAATTATATCATTACCAGTAACCAAAATACCGAATACGAAATTGAAAAGAAAACAATAATTTAAAAAAATCATTCATACTTGTCAAAAGATCGTCATGAAAAACTTAGGTGTTTTGTAATCGTTTGAAATATTTATTGGCAACGTGAAATCTGTGGAATAATCTTTAAGAGATCACTTTTAAAATAAAATGTTTCGATTTATATTATATATTTCGATTTTTTTTAATTGCAAAAGGTGAAAATAAGCATTTTAATGAGTTATCAACAGAAGTTTTAATTATTAACTTTTAATCAAATATAGTCAGAAGAAAGTAATTAATTTAAAATAATTATTATTTTTGAAACTCTTCAGATGTCAATAACAAATATGGAATTCCAACATTTAATATAAAAGGAAAATTTCAAGACGTCACACCTTTATGGTAATATTATCTTAATTAACAAATATTCAATTTTATTTTACATTACTGTTTAAATACTCAAAGTGTTTTTTTACCTATTTGATTTTTGTTGGCTTTTTACGAGATACTTAATTATCTGATTTTTTCTTTTGAATTATTGAATCAATAAATGTTATTAGGTGAGAGAGTTAGTTCGATTCATAAATATTTGAAATTCATTCTTTGTAAAATAGGCGTCATTTACTGCTCTATAGTTCACACATGTCGAACACGAAAAAAATATCACTTTGGATCTTCTTTAATTACGTACAACTTATAGAAAAATGACATTTTACATTTCTGTAGTTAAAGTAAATTAGAAAAAAATGTAATCTAATATTATATATAAATCTTACTTGTATAACTTTTTTAATTATTTTATTATTTTTTTTAAATGTGTATTTTGGGAACATATGTAGTTAAAGATTTTATGCATTAGCAAAAAATTGCGAAGAAAAATTTTTATTCAGGGTATTTCGTAATGACCACTCTTAATATTTGTTTCAAGAATGCTTAATATAAAAAGGAAGTGAATAAAAGGTTTAAAATTTATTAGAGGTTTCAAATTATTATTTAAGCGAGATAATATTATAATGCGAACTGAAAACCAATAAATCCCTAATGAAGAAAGCTAGATTAAAAACAACAAACTCAGTTTGATTATCGGAAGAAACAGAGAGGAGATGAAAGATGATTATAGAAATGCCCTCATTTTTCATTAGGCAATAAAACTGGTTTTATCTTACTATTGACTTGTCACATATTTTGATTTTTTTTCCTGCAGCTTAAATTTTAAACTACTGCCTCTTATATGCATACTTTTTTACTTCTGAAAAAGTATATTAAGGACGGTCAATACGAAATACTCTGCATACGTGCGATTTCGTAGTTATAATTTTTTTACTGATTTTCTGTTTCATACATTTGACAATCCAACATTTTGAACAATTTTTAATCCTAATGATTATGTTTTGATTAATGAAACTGCGACTCTCATAGTTTGATTGTTCTTAGAAAGGCGGGTTAAAAAGAAACTAATTATTTATGAATTTGAAATGAAATTTGATACATACTTCGCATTTGGCTTAACTTGGCTATATATAATAGCTTGGTAAAAGAAATTGGATGTTTATTAGTGTGATCTACCAAATAGTCACCATATTTGGCGTTTTTAGTGCCAAAATTATAATATTGTATTGTATAACTTTAATCTCGTTCTATTTACTTAAACTTTATTCATATTTAAAAATTTGTTTTTAGAGTGTCAGCAGAAATAATTTTACAATAAAAAAATATTGCTAACTAAAAATATCCACAAAATAATCTCGACTTTCTCTAAAACAACTAGTATTACAATGTGTAATAGCCTGGCAAATGTAATGTATTTGCTTCTATTCGTGATTTACCGATTGGCCACCAGAATTGACATCTTTTATATCGAAATTATTGAGAAACATTCACATCTTGTTCAATTTAATGGTAAATACTTAATCGGAACATTAAATTTTTTCTTATGTCAGTAAAAGCTGGGATTTTTCATCAATTAAAAAAAAAATTTTGTTAACAGAGAATAAATCAGCATAATATTCTAAATTTTTGCTTTAAACAGCAACTTTTATTTTTTTTAACTTTTGTTCGATACCAAATAATTGATTTCTACGCTGGTTCGTTTGATAACAAATGAAATGGACTGTATTAAAGATTTTTATTATGATTGGTGCTACGAGCACGCTCATGCTATAAGATCAACAACTAATTTTCAACTGATTAGGGTTACAACAAACGGTGGCGAGGATGCTGAGACAAAGATGCCAAGTTGGCGCTATATTTCTGAGATATTGAACAACTTTAAATATTAATAACCTAACTCGTCAAAAACATGTTGTTTTTTTTCGGTTAAGAATAATTATTAAAATAACGATTGAAGTTACATTTCTTCAGACTTAATGGCAATCTATTTTTATTGACCATTTATCTAGAATTTTCACCTGAAGAAGGACGAAAGAAAAAAAGCTCGAAAATGAACGTAAGTACTTTTTTATTACTTTTTAGAACCGAAATTTTAGCAGTCATTTAATTACTCGAGAGATAAAAAAAATTATAATTTAATTCTAAAACAATTAAATTTAAAAAGTTATTCATTATTTCCCAACTATAATGCTACCGAAATTTCTCGGCTTTTAGAGTAAAGTTTTATTTTCCTAAATCCTTTTTAAAGGATCTGACATCGTATGGAAATAATATGCTATTTTTAAAACAGTTGAGAATTTGTGACAGTTATTTTGTTAACAGTTGTTGTAAGTGTCCTCTATGCAAATTCTGTCAAATATTTGATAAAATATAAAGAAAAGCCACCGTTTTATGAAAATAAAAAACATTTTTGATATTTTAAAAGTTACTCCAACCTGGGCTCATAATTTGTAATTATTGAGGTCTATTCATCGCTTTCAGTACTTTTCATCTAGATGGAAAAATCTTTGCAAATTGATGATTTTTAAAATAGTTCAATGTTTTTCATAATATTTAAGTTCTATGTTCTGTAAACAGCAAGGTGGTTTGTTTAGTTTGAAATGATAGCTTTGCCTCCAGTGGGATCTGTGGCTTTTTTCTGTTTACCTCAGCAAGCACTCAGGGCCGGAAAAAAACCATAATTAGAAGGAAAAAAAATCAGCAAAACAATAGAATAAGTCGAAATTCTGACAAAAAGACTTTTATTAAATAAATTGTAAAATTTAATTGTAAAAGTTAATTTTTCTTTTGGGTAAAAAGTAAGATGATGTCTTTCATTTTGAAATCTGTTTGGCTGGATCAACATCAACAGAAAGAAAAATAAATAAATAAAAACGATTATATGTAAGAATAGCTACAAAAATATTCTTCAGAATCTTGTATATATGTACAAGAGGTGATCAAATGAAAAGGTACGAAACGACACGGTGGGTACAAATGTAGACTTTATTCAAAATATACACCATAGGCCTGAGCACAACGATCCCACTGATGAACAAGCTGCAGGATTCCCTGTTCCCAGAATTCCTGTGGCTGAGACGAGACCCAGTCCTTCACAGCGTCCTTGACTACGCCGTCCAAGTTGAAGCACTTCCCTTTCAGGCGTTTCTTCAGTGGACCAAACACATGGAAATCGCAGGATGACAGGTCCGGACTGTAGGGCGGGTGGTCCAACGTCTCCCACTTGAACTTGGCTAGTTCCATGTGTGTGACTCTGGAGACGTGTGGACGCGCTTTATCATGGAGCAGAACCACACCCTCCGTGAGCAGCCCCTGGTCTTGATGGACCTGCGTAGGCGTCGGAGTGTCTCACAGTACACATGGGAGTTAATGGTTTTTCTGTGCTTGAGTTTCTGTTCCTCATACGGACTGCCGCATCATTTGGACGCTGCTTCTGATAAGAGCCTCTGCTCTCTCCTGCGCATGCGGGCGCCCGCACATGCTCCGACCCCCGTCAGAAACTCCAATCGCATCCCGATATGTCTCGCTACGTTCTCCCATGGCGGAATATGCAAATATTTAACTGTTACGTTTTTACGTCGTTTCGTACCTTTTCATTTGATCACCCCTTGTAATTACTGCAGATTTACAGTGAACTACAGAAGTATTTTTCTTATAATGATTTTCAAGAAGTGCAATTTGTTTAATTCAAAAAGAAAAAACGGCAAATTGTTTTTATAATGATTAAAAAAAAAGCATTCGAAAAGAATGAAATGATCCAAAAGACTGTAAATTAAGAAAATTTAAATGTACAGTTTATGATTAAAATTAATCACTGAAGATTTGGAGAGTAATTATGCATGGAGATGAAATAACGAAATCTTCTAAGTCGGGGACTTCTTACCCGATGAAATTCATATATGATCATTAAAATCAGACGAAATGTGTTTTCCTGAAAATGTGGCGTCTTCCTCTAATTTTTAGAACTGAGAGTAGGTTTGATTTTATTAATCCCATCTTACACAATAGTCATTGCCAAATTCTGATCAAGTTTTTTGTTCTCGCCTAATTATTCATTAGTGTCGGCAATGTGTACAAATTATTTACTTCAATTTTTTAAAAGGACTGATTGCAGAAAAAAGGAGCACTATAATTACATGATTAATATTATATATTAAGAGCGGTGTTTATGGAACACCTTGTACACAAAATGGGAAATCTATAAAAGTGACGATGTTTCGGGATGAGTCCCAGGCTATAAGAAAAAAGTTTAACTAATATATTATTGTAGAATTAAGACAACAGACAACTATTTTAAGTAAATGCATGAGTTTTCTTTTCCAGGAAACAAGGAGAAGTGCAGATCTTCCCAAGAAAAAGATCTTAGAAACTTTACTAAAAAGTGCCATTAGTTATTTAGAATGTCTGCAGAAATTTACTTATCCTGTTAAAGATGTCAGCAAGAAGGACAGTAAGTTATTTGTTTTATTTCATTAGGATCTTTAATTAGTATATTTTGAAATTGCTTTCTTTTTCTTCAATCACAAAACATTTCGATTTTATTTTTACTTCTAACGATGTTAACTTTAACTACTTTGATCAAAATTGGAGTTTAAGGCATGGAGTTTCATACGGAGTATCTCAAAAAAAGACCGTCGATTTCAAAAATCAATTAAAGGATGTTGGATGGATGTTAAAATGTACGGTTTACTGCGTTCTGCTTAGGAAACTAGATCTTTTTATCTTCAAATTTTTTTAAAAAACTTAGTTACAAAATTCGCCAAAAAATCGCGCTGCTGAATCAAAATTAACGCTTTTCGCTGCATGTCGCACCATTTCAACTGAAATATTTGCTCATGTGTTGCTTAATTTCATACTCAAACTGCTCCTCATTCTTGTTTCAAATAGTGATTGTTTAAAAAATATTATTTTCTAATTTTTCTCAGGCAGTGATATCAGGTACTTTGTAGCTAATCTTGAAACTTGCTGCGAATAAACTCTCTGGTTTTTTAAACCGAATGCAGCGTTGTTATTTATAATTATTCTTTGAGATTATTTTTGTCCAAACAACTTGTTACTTATGCTTTCCACCATACTAGCTTTCTTTCTATTTTTAAGAAACCTCTTAAGAAATTCAAACATCTGCACAAACTACTGATACAAAATAGTACCTTAAAATAATCTTCTATTTTTTTAAAACATATATCTATTAATAAACACATTAAAGTTAGAAAAGAACACAATAAATTATAATAGCGGATTTTGGAAATAATTTTCCTCTTGTATTTTAAATGTTGGTTGATTAATATATTTAGACTTTTCCTTTTACAAAACAAATGATTTCTAAAAAATGTTTACAGGTTTTAAAAAATCTCAAATTTCATTGCAATATAATTCTTATGAAAGCCACAAGTTATGGCAATCTGAAACAAGGGCAGCAACATATACAATATTTCAACCTTTAAATGATTTCTTTTATACGGCATTGAAGCATATGAAAAATTTTCTTTCCTGATATAAATGAAAGATAATTTAACTAAAATTTAAGTAAATTAATTTGTTTTAATCCTAATACATAAATTTCTCTCAGTATATTTTGCGCCTACTTTTTCCCCCAAAGTTTTACCTTCTTTAATTTACAATTGAAATAAAGAAAGTACAAGTGCAATCATGAAAACTAGCAATCATAATTCCCTGTTACAACTTTAATTGTGATTATGAGCAATATTAGATTTACAGTTATAATCGTACTTATTGAACTGAGTTTACTGAGTTACAGTATTTATGATTATACGATATATTGATTACACATGCTCACGATTATGTGTAATCTGCATTTTAAATACTGTGTAAATTGAATGTAATCTTGATTATAAGTAATAAATTACTTTCTGCCTAAACCTGTTTTAATTTCTTTCCTTTCCATTTCTTTTAATATTGATTATGATTTTAAAATTGATTTCATATATTCATGATTACGTGCAACTTTAATAAAATTCTGATATAAACTACATGTAATCTAATTTTAAGTAATTTCCCACATTTTCCACAGCAATTACATTTACTCCAGTATATCTTCTATAAAATGATTATATGAACTCGAAGTTCTTTATCCCAATACAGCTTTTTAAAAATAAATTATTATAATGAAAACATTTTGAAAAGTATATGGCAACTTTTTGCTTTTTAGACAACTTTTAGATTTCTTACGTGAATTTTACCGGACGGATGAAGGTTTGATCTACAAAAAATTTTATCTGGATAAAAAGACAGATTTTGGATGGGATATCCTGCTTGGTAGAGCGTTGGGCTTGTGTTTCTAAAAATGTGAATTCGAATCCAGCAGGACGAAGAATCCCTGTGTATTAAATGGTAACTGGTGCACGTTAAATCTGTCAGGATCACTAAGTCCTCCATGCCCTCATAACAAATCAATACCCCGGGGGGAACAGAATTGAAGATTGATCATTCTCTGGTTCAAGTCAAAATTGTCTGGTTCAATTTGAGGTTGAATGAATGGAGTATAATTGGGTGCTCCCTATAAAACAGGCTGTGACGTATGTGTGGTTGAAGTCGTATTATTGACCATAGATGATACCACTGGAGAAAAAAAAACAGTAAACCTTTTCATTCGCTTGATATTTAGCAGGCTTGCTGGTATTGGCAAGTAGCATTAGTAACAACATCAACAACATATAGATTTTAGTAAATACTTCAAATCATAAAAAATTCTTGCATCAACTATACCTCTTTTTATTTTATTTTAGATAGGATATCACTGCTAATAATTATATTTACGAAGATTTTGAGAGTTTGGAAACATTTTTTTTAGGTGTTAGAACGGAGAAAAGATATCCTAAAAGAAATATAAAAAGATTATCATATAACGAGTGTGATTCTACTGATGACGAATGCCTAGGTAAATTATTTAAATAGATTTCTTTATATTTTATTTTATAATTGAATGAACTAGTTGTCAAAATTGGATACCTGCAAGTGACTTCATCGTGGGTATTGATACTGATTGACTGTTTTTTTTTTCATTCTATTCAACTCTTCTTCCCACTCTATTTCGAGTAAGCCTAGCCCCTCAAATTAAATATGCAATCATTGTAAATTAAATATACAAAATAATTAGCAAAACAAAAGGAATGAGCTATTAATTTTCCTTCATTAAGGAAAAGAAGTCGATAATAAAACAAGTCTAACAGCTTTAATGTTAACACGTTATCTCATTTCTAAACAACCTGCTGGCGCTGAGGTTACAGATCAGGTGGGTGTGTATCAGCGGTCTTCTTCACGAGTCGAGAGTATCCCATTGCAATGAAAAACTTAATATTTCACGATATGTTCAGAAGTAGTCACCGCAGTTAATCATACGTTTATCTCATTTTGATTATTTGATTCGATGGACTCAGAATGCTTTGTTTCTACATATCCTCGATTTTTTTTTTATCTTTTTAGTATTTCTGAGTAGATATTTGTAAGATTTCGATTTATCCTTTATTTTAATTAAATAATAATTTGCAAATCCTAACGAGTAAACTTTTTTGATTTCCATTTTGACAAGAATTCTTAAAATATATATTAAGGGTAGTCATGGCATAATCAGAGAACAACGCACGTCAAGGAAAGCTAATTATTGAGTGGATGATGATTAAATGGATAAAAACTTAATTAAAACCGGAAGAATTGTTAATAAGGAAGACAAGACACCCAAAGTTGATTGGCTGTCAGAGAAAACTGAACGGAGACAAAAGGCAGTAATTACAATGCAAGAATTTTTTTCTGAAACAGATACAGCGAATAGAATTTATTTCCGATTTCAGAATATGAAAATCGAAAATAAAATATAACCTTTCTATTCACAAAAGGCGTTTGAAAGTATTTCAGTGTTTCTAGTTTGCCACACTTGGTATTAGTTTTTATTTTGCTTTCTTATCTTCATTAATTTTTCTTCATAGGTTNTTTTTTTTTTTTTTTTTTTTTTTTTTTTTTTTTTTTTTTTTTTTTTTTTTTTTTTTTTTTTTAGATAGATGCGATTTTTACGCAATTTTGATTGCAAAAATTGTCAGTGCATTATATACCAGTAAATGGTTTTGATCTGAAGAGTCAGAAAGAGATGAAACACACACCCAGAGATCTTATCAGATCTAATCATTATAACTTACAAATTAGAAAACCAAATCAAGAGAAATTTGTGTATGAAAATACGTCAAAAATTATAACATTTAAAAATTATATCACAAAGTTAATTGCACAATATTTAAATTAAAAGTTCATAGGCATCATCGCAAGGTAGTACGAAAATCACTTGTGTTGTGTTTCATATGAAGCATGACCTTACCTGACAAAAATGAAAACCCCACAATTAACTGTCATGCTGTTTACAAGTTGACAAATATTTTGTGACAGGTCTCTGGACCTTAAATCTAACTTCTCCATTGCGACAGTTTTTGCCTTGAGAAGTATCGTAAAGGGTTAGCAAGCAGGGATGGGCTTAGGTCTAGAGATCCGGCTGGCCACTACATCCTCTTAATATATCTTAGGCTTCAGGGTATTACTCAAACAGCGTTTGAAAGGGAAATAATAGTTTTTTATTTCTGAAGTTATTTTGTCAAATTTTAATGAAATATTTTAACCATATATTAGTAGTTTAATTTATTCATTTATATATTTTATTTTAGTAATTGAAAACTATGTAGTAGATGAAAGCGATACTTCATCCTATGAGAGACTGTTTCACGTTTCTAAAGTATGTGTTTGATTCTAAAACTTTATTTTAAAAGTAAAATATATTAGTGATGCTCTGAAAATTAATTTTGGAATATTTTGAATCATCCAGAAACTATATTCAATTTTTTTTAGAGAAAAACCCCATGAATTTTCACAAAAATTGGCTGTATAAATTAAAGTTTCATACTTACTGTAGTTTATTTAACGTTCTCAGTTACTTGAATGCTTTAAAAATGCCTCTAATAATTTTCTTATTTCGATTGTGAAAAAGTAAGTAATATGATTTTAATTTATTATCTTTGGTAATTTAACTATAAAGCGTTTAAATTGTTTTATATTAGACCATGACCCAGTTACTTTGAAAGAGCAATTTTTCCCTATACGGAAATCATTAACAACGAAATTTTGTGTTTGTTGCAAAATAAATCTTGACTTTGTTACATATTTCTCGGGTCCTACGCATGCTTAGTTGCGTAGTTCAAAGTTGATCTGAAAATTCTCCGGGAAGTAAAATAAAAAATTTGGAAAAACATTAGTATAAGGAAAAGTGGTCCATTGCCCCAAACCTTAAAAAACATCGTAGATAATACCGGGCAAGAGCTTAACGATTAAATTATTCAATAATCCTCCCTCGCATTTATGGAAAGTAATTTTTCGCTAAATTCCCAAGACGTTTCCCGAATCCAAAGTTAAAAGGCAGGCCTCTGACAGTATTAATTTTGTGTTTCTTCATTCAGCGTTTTATGCTCTGTTTAAACATATTATATTGCTTTAGCATATACTGATATTAATAAAACACTGATGGTTTTATCGCATAGAAAATATCCTAGGTCAGGGATGGCGAATGGCACGTGACACAATATTCTGGGCACGCCACCGATCACAAAGTTCACTATAAAGCATATTAACAATTAAATTGAAATTCACGAAAAACAAAAAAAAAAAAACAATTATTAACAAAACTATTTACAATTAATTCCAAAAAGCAATTAATAGCCATAAAAAACAAGCTAACAATAAATATCTAGCAAGAAAAAAATTAACAATCCAGCTTAAACTAACATCTTACAACCTAATATAAGTTATTTGTCATCTAATCTGCAACAACAGAAGTCACACTGATGTCACTTTAAGTTGAATTACGCGTATAACTGAGGCATTGCAAAATGTATTTTTTTTCATAGTAAATATAGAGTTTTGAGTTGATAGTATTTAGTATTATTATTTTCCCAATTATCACGAAGTCAAAATTGTTTGACGGCACATCTATGACCTCATTAAACAATTTTTTAAAAAAATGGCACGTTGGTGCATAAAGGTTCGCCACCCCTGTCCTAGGTCTTAAAAAACAATCACGCATGCTTGTTTGTAAATGTAATAAAAATAGTGACGCTGATTCTACAGGATAACCATCTCCTGTTGGGTTTATGGTTCCTAAATTATGTCACGTTATCCCCAGCGTCACTGTTAGTAGAACATGGTGGCAATTATATTGCTTTAGCATGGAATGTCTGTTTAATAACGATGTTTTTAATTTATAATTATCAATGAGCCGTGATGGCTCAAGGAGCTAGAGCGTTCGTTTTACAATGAGGTGAACCGGGTTCGAATCCCAACGATGGCTGGTCGATACGAATTCATCATCCGGCTTGCTCCGACCGCAATGATGACGTGAATTATCCTCAGTGGTAGACAGATCATGGGCTTGAGTCCCCTTTGCAGCCAGGCTAACCGTAAGAGGTTCCCGTGGTCTTCCTCTCCATGTAACGCAAATGCGGATTAGTTCCATCAAAAAGTCTTCCCCGAAGGTAAATTTCTCCCACTACTTGATCCAGGCGTTCCCATGTCTTCTAGATTGGGTTAAAAATTACAAGTTCGCGTAGTTGAGCATAGTAGTCGTAAACCTAAAAATTGGGTCGGGTTGTTCAACGACGGTTATATAATAAAATAAAAACTCATTTCAGAATGATCTTCGAGTCATCAGATTTCACCATAATTAATTCATCATAATCAATATCATAATTCTGGCAAATTTTGATTCTTTCCTCCCCAGTATATTTCAACTTCTTAATATATGAGTTTTACCCTGACTCTCCCCCGCAATGGGCCTCCAGGGATACCGATAGCCCACCAGGGTACTGATTAGTGAACAACTGTTCAAATACAAAAACATGATGCAAATCGAGAAACATCTAGCAGGTCTGTGCAATGTAAAATTAATACTACATACTTTAAAATCAAGATGATTAACAGATGTAAAGAAGTCCCTCAACAACAAAACGGATTTCCAATAAAGCAAAGAGAAGATAAGATATTCCGTTACAAAAGGAAATTCAAAAGATGAACAGATGAATAGAAGTCACTTAACAAACGGATTTCCAATGAAACAAGGAACAAATGAAAAGACCTTCCGTTACAGAAGGAAATTCAAAATTAAAGTACAGTATAATACTTTACTCAATAATTGCTCAATACTGCTATTACTCAAATAACAGTAGTAAAGTTAAGAAGATCATGTAAATATATTATGTAAAATTCTTATGTAAATAATAAATATCTTATGTAAATAATCTTCATGTAAAATTCTTAATAAATCGTATTGCCATGGGGAAACAAATAATTTCCCGAAATCATGGTAATGAAGAGGGATAAAGTGTGGGAATGGAGAAATCGCGTAACCTTAAATCCACTACTCTATTTACAAAGAATATAAGAATATGGAATCAAGTGAAGGGCTTAATGGAAGAATATATATATATATATATATATATATATATATATA